ATTCCTATAGGTGTCAGCACATTCTGTAGGTTCATGTTCATCTACCACATGGATCCAAAATGAAGAGAAGGTACAGAAATCGCTGCCACATTTCTTACATTCATGGCCGCTGTCACCAAGGTCACTCCTCAACAGGTTTATGTCGACACGGTTGCAGGAATAACTTGGAAATCTGATGCACATATTCCCAGGGTGACTGTTTTCAATCCCTTCACTCACCTCATGTACTGTTTGACTTCTGGGAAAAGTAAACAACACACACTTGAAAATACGCATGTTCCTGTATGCCCAGGATAAAACACAATGAAGATGTGAGAGTTTAACTTCTCAGAGTCCCACAGGACTTCTCTTAGCAAAAATACATCAGAAAGTGTAATTAGATGTATAAATGCAGTTCCTAAAACTGCATTTATAAATCTCATTACACTTTCTGATACCTGTTTCCAAAGTCACAATGTTATGTTTTGTTATTTGTTTGTTTTTTCATTTTCTTGATACTCACCTCCAATAGTGCTCTATGAGTTTATGTAGATTTTCTTTGCCACAGAGTTGTAACATTTTCCGTAACATAGAAGACCAAGGGTGGGTCGTCTCAAAGAATGTCATCTGAGTACATTCAGGGGATAATGCTTCTCCGTCATTCACGTGGTCAAGGCCTGCTATATAACAAAATAACTTTGACAACACAGAAAGAGAAGAAAGTAACAGACATTTGGCTGCTCTAAACCAACAGTCACATGTGCACATTTTTGAGTTTCAGCACTTTGACACGGGATGGCAAACTTCACTACGAATCCCTTCTGAAAGAAATCAAAGACATGATGATATAAATGAGATTCCTCTGGGTGGATAATTACAGAGATGACTCACACAGCACACACAACATCACACAGAACAGCACACACATGACAATGCACAGTACACACACTATATCACAGAGGATTCTCATAACATGACACAGGACACACATCACAGGAAAAATAGAAAAATGGCTCCACGACAGGCCTGCTGATGCACAAAACAGTGTCCGGTGATCTGTTAAGTTGTAAAATCCAGCAAAAAAGGCATTTTCTTCTAACTGGTTCAAGAAAATGCCGATTTCTCAATATGCAAAAGATCCATAGCATATAAAAGATTTCATAGAGCTTCTCAACACAGGAGCCCTCGAGAACTCAGGTGGCCTCGTGGCAAGAAGCTGTGCTGCAATCCCAATGGCATGTGGTTCGAATCCACCAGATGCTTCACTGGAGAAGGAGGGGCAGTCTCCTCCTGTGCCAGTCGGATCCAATTTGAAAGAACACCAAAACAACAAGAGCAACAAAACAAGAACAACAACAACACAGGAGCAATAAATGAGTGTTAGACCCCAAGGCCATAAAGATAATGCCTTAAATTCTGACCCATAAAAGTTAAGAGTTTTCACTTAGGATAGTGACAGATATAAATGTACGGAATCACAGAAGAGGAAAGGTGCTCTCAGATACAAAGGCTTCCATGAAAAAGTCATTTTCCTGAGCGCTAAAACCCAGGTGACCATGCCTTCTTCATTGAACCTTGTATTCCAATTCTTCTGCCAAAGTTCAAAAGTCATGTGCATGAATTCATTTTCTTTGCATTCCAAGGATTTGCAAGCCTATCAAATCTTAATTTTACCTATGAAGTCCAGGTTTTCCAAGATTTCCATCATCACCTCCCTGTAGAGTTTCTTCTGAGCAACACTCAACAAGGCCCACTCTTCCGGGTTGAAGAAGATGACCACATCGTCAAGCAGCAATGGGGCCTGAAACACACAGCGTTATCTGGATCAGATCGGTGCCGTGTCTCACAATGTGGGCAAGAACAAAAAAGGGGCCTCACATACGTAGAAAACTAA